GCCTAAACCTGCAGTTCAACAATAATCAGAACATAAATAAATTATTTTCTGTAAAAGAAAAATCCCTATAAATGAAAAAAATGCAGTCACTTAAGTGAGCCTAAACCTGCAGCTCAATAATCAAAAATATAATCAAAACACAATTTCTGTAAAAAAAAAAATAAAAAAAAAATAAAAAAATCATGCATAAACCTGCAGCTCAACAAGGTTTTTGGAGACATGCTCGCTTTCTACACATTCATCTTTCAGTCCAAGTTATGATGTAGGAATGTTCACCTTTCCCGGATTAAGTTTGGAGCTATGGTTTGGGGCGGTGAGGTACGAGGATGTGTGCACATACACAGCACGAGTGTCTCTCTCTCTCTCTCTCACACACACACACACACACACACACACACAGTCTCTCCGTACAACACTCAAACAGTGGCAACATTTTTTGTTTTTTTTTAAATGCGTGATTTTAAACAGGTGTAAACAATGGCAGGAGGCTTAAAAGTATAGACGTGATACCAGCTAAATTTAATTATTGTACTAAATCGCAGAAAAGTAGGCTACAGTACATACCTGCTGCTTTAGACTGCTATTCCTCACTCTGTGAAGTACCGGTAATGTGAGGGAGGAAACTAGTTGACGTTAGCTAGTTAATTAGCCATGTTATCTGCCTCGGTATCAAGCCAAATAGTATTTATTTCAACACTGAAACAAACGGCGGGTGGGTCTCTGTCTTGATCGGGGGTGAAAGAGGGAGAAAACCCGAAGATGACACAGATATATAGTTTATGTTCGACTTGGAAGTATTTATTTAGCGATCGGCGCTAAAACGTCATCTGGAGCATGGTTAGTCTACGTTCCCTGAAAATTCCCATACGACAGACTTCGTCTTTTTCGACGGGGGAAAACGTTCCAGGGATTCATCTCCTTCGGCCATCCCACACACAGGTGACTCCGCTCGCACCAACCGGAGTGGGAGGGTTCGTGTGACTCGCTATGCTCTTCGCTGCACACAACTGAGAAAATCCTACACTTTCCGTCTTTGACGACACGTAAAAAAACTGTGCATACCGCAGGAACGGTATAATGGAAAATTTGAATGGTTTTGAAACCGTGACTTTTCCAAACCGCGGTATACCTTGAAACCGGTTATCGTCCCATGCCTAGTCGACCTCTAGTTGTAATGTTCTGTACTGTAAGTGAGGCTGAAAGTCAAGAGCAGATGAACAGTATGAAAACTTCTTACAGTATAGTTCCTAGAAGTACTTTTTTCAGTCTTTCTCTCATGCTCTTCACCTTCTTTGGCTGGCAGCGCTCCATCCTTCAGTCACTCTGTTAGTAGGATGAAGGACAAACTCAATGGGTCTTTATGCATAGAGCGAAAGAGAGAAAAAAAAACATGTTTGCATAGCGAAGCATTAACCCTCCGAAAATGGCACCAAATACATCAACGTTATGTCTTTCAGTGAGCGATACTTGAGCTCTCAGAAGCAGTTCTAGACCTGCCTCTCTCAGCCTTTGATGATCTGAAAGCACTTCCTGTTGATGCACACTGTACCCGGGCCTGTTTTCAGAGCCCGTTTCATGAGTACTTCTTTGGACCTCTGCTTTAATTAGCCAGTGGATGTACATTCAACAGTGTTAGTAATACTAGAGCATACACTGTGAATTTTTTTTCCCCCCAATATTTCTGGAGTATGTTTTACAAGAAAATACTATTTCAGTCTTTATACTTAAAAATTTTATGTTTTATTCAATGTGCTACTTGCCATTTCTTTGTAATTATTTGTGAATTCTCTGATTTTTCTGAATAAAACAGACTTTAAGACTATAAATTAACACTTTTTTTAAAACAGCTGAAAGTATATATATATACAGTGGGTACGGAAAGTATTCAGACCCCCTTAAATTTTTCACACTTTGTTATATTGCAGCCATTTGCTAAAATCATTTAAGTTAATTTTTTTCCTCATTAATGTACACATAGCACCCCATATTGACAGAAAAACACAGAATTGTTGACATTTTTGCAGATTTATTAAAAAAGAAAAACTGAAATATCACATGGTCCTAAGTATTCAGACCCTTTGCTCAGTATTTAGTAGAAGCACCCTTTTGATCAAATACAGCCATGAGTCTTTTTGGGAAAATTTTTTCACACCTGGATTTGGGGAACCTCTGCCATTCCTCCTTGCAGATCCTCTCCAGTTCTGTCAGGTTGGATGGTAAACGTTGGTGGACAGCCATTTTTAGGTCTCTCCAGAGATGCTCAATTGGGTTTAAGTCAGGGCTCTGGCTGGGCCATTCAAGAACAGTCACAGAGTTGTTGTGAAGCCACTCCTTCGTTATTTTAGCTGTGTGCTTAGGGTCATTGTCTTGTTGGAAGGTAAACCTTCGGCCCAGTCTGAGGTCCTGAGCACTCTGGAGAAGGTTTTCGTCCAGGATATCCCTGTACTTGCAGAGCAAGTCTTCATCTTTCCCTCGATTGCGACCAGTTGTCCTGTCCCTGCAGCTGAAAAACACCCCCACAGCATTTTGCTGCCACCACCATGCTTAACTGTTGGGACTGTATTGGACAGGTGATGAGCAGTGCCTGCTTTTCTCCACACATACCGCTTAGAAAAAACGCTTAAGGCCAAAAAGTTCTATCTTGGACTCATCAGACCAGAGAATCTTATTTCTCACCATCTTGGAGTCCTCCATGCGGGCTTTCATGTGTCTTGCACCGAGGAGAGGCTTCCGTCGGGCCACTCTGCAATAAAGCCTCGGAGAGATAAGAGTGAGAATGCGCGGCTAATGTTATTGCCTGTGCCGCTGGTAACAAAGCGGATCGGCTCAAAATCGGAAAGAAGTGAGACTGACCGACCGATCACCGATCCGGGCTGATCATGAGGAAAATCGGCCGATTCCGATCCCTGGCCGATCGATCGGTGCATCTCTACTGAGTATTTATGCGTTTTTAACCTAAATGACAGCAGCGTCCATCTATGAAGGCTGTCAAACATACACAACTCAAATCATATCAGTGGGCGTTTGCTTCCGAGTCTACAATCCGCCACACTTATTCAAACAGAGCGTTCTGATGAGGGGGGTCAAAACAGGACAGAAAATAGCCCATTACTTCTAAATTATGTTTTTTTATGTAAGAATCTTGGTAGCATTATAAGTGGACCTCAGAGAACAGTACAAAATAATAAATAAAGGCAGTTCATGACCCTTTAATGCTAATCAAACAAAACACATGCTTGACAAAGTTTAATCTATATTTAATTTATACAGTGAACACTATGCAGTGTTATTTTAAACTTAATTATTACATTTCTGTACCTGAATACTACTGAGTTTATTTTATTCGTAATTTTGTTCTGTTGTATTTATCTGTGCTTGTAATTTGTGTATTTGTTCTTATTTTTTACTGGCTGTTCACTTGTCTTTAATCATGTTTGAACTTTCTTATTTAGGCTAGTAGTTTTTGCTGTGGTATTGAAGAAGTACTTAAATTAAAAGTAATAAATGAAAAGCAAAGTTACATTGAAATATATATTTTTTTCTTGCTGATCCAAAAACTGATCTGATCCATACGTTTTGTGATCCGTTGAACCACTAATGGCCTGTCATGGTGGCGTGTATGACTGTAAGTAATGTGTGGCAGCACTCAGTTGGACATGCTGAACGTTTGGGTGGAATCCAGAGAAAGATTTTTGGATGCTTACTACAATAAATACCTGGTAAGCTTCTTGGACTTAAGGTATCACCCAGACAGATTAAAGAGTAAAAACTTAAAATGCTTGTCATCTGTAAGTACTCTTGAGAAGAGTTTGACATTTGTGAATTGAAATAGTTTTGATCCAGTAAACTGTCTATCTTATTGGCAAAATAGCACTTGCTTGATAGGCACATCTGTGTTTCTTCTGAAATTGATTTATACAGCATGTTTGGATTTGAATCCTATTTAAATCTTTTCTTCATGATTTAGCCAAGACTTGCTGATCTCCATGGATTAAACTGTTATTTGTCAGTTTTAGTGGCTTACGGATTGTTTAAGTAACATGCCCTTTTTATCATTTTAATCAGAAAGTTAAAGCTGGTCAAAGAGATTTAAGGCCAGTCACAGCCTACAGATTTACATGTTTATGCACTTGCTTGATGTTGTCTCAAAGTTAAATATGCAGTGCATAATATAACTAAGAATTTCACAAGTCTACAAATACACATGTAATGGTTTACCACTGCTGCACTATAGCCAAAGATATGGCTGCTATAATAATTAAGCATTTTATACTGGTAAATGGGCTTAAAGAGAGTACAATATGGAGTTCTGGTCAGGCATTCCTCCAGGACACCACTTCCACAGGAGCTGCACAGAGACCAGAAGTGGTTGTTCCATGTCTGCTTTTCCATTCATAGCCCTTAAGATAACTGTAGTGTTTTTAATCAAGCATTAACATTTTGTATGTTTTATCATGCTGAACAGCACTGATATTTTGTTTTCAGACCAATTATAGTTATAAAATGCTGGAAATGTCTTGTGCATTTTTTGTTTGCCTTTTGCAGTATTTCTGGGGAATATTAGGGGATTTAATTCAAAGGGATTTAAGGGAATCTTGTTAATCTGAAATTTAAGATTGAAGATAGGGCTAGCTGCAATTGAGTGTAAATACTTTCAAATGGCTGAAAGTGCTTAAAATAAATCCTTTTTCCCATCTTAAATTTTAGGACTCTTGGCTGGCTGTAAGACTCTTATTAAAGTATGCACTGTCACTCCTTAGTCTCTGATCCAAACAATTTTAATAGCACCCTCTAAAGGCTAGACACTAACTAAGCAGTCAGGAGGCCATATATTTAGCGTAGCAGTAATTAAAGAAATGGCAACAGGTTGCATTTGTTGCATGCACATTCATACACTTTGTACACAGATATGACCTACTGCTAAGATGTGTAATGCATGATAAATCAAATATATGCCTCTCTCAGTCTAACCTTACGTAACATTGTGCAATATGTTTTAGAGTTCTCACCTGGCGATGATTGACACTTTGATGATGGCGTACACAGTTGAAATGGTCAGTGTGGAGAGAGTGCTGACCTGCATACAGAAATTTACTCCTTTCCTTCCTGAGGAAGACTTCCCTTATGATGCTGAAGAGGCCGTGACAACATGGATTAGCAAGGTGAGATCCCTACAGCTCACATTACAGTGTGTAAACATATTGCTTACATGTGAATTTTAGAGAGTTTCAGAATGTACTTGTTTCTTATTAAATTCAAATAGCCCAAAATCCTTTAAACCTACGATACCATACAATCAGCTGTGCAGCGCAATGTGAACTTGTTCACACTTTTCTGTGTTTTGTGATTGATTGCATCGTGATGCATTTCCATTCTCAGTGCAGAGAGACAAATGGCTTGTTGCTGGGACTTTATGGATGGTTGGAACTCAATGTTAAGATGCTTTCATGCTTTTTGATGTGAAAGCTGTTTTCAGAACTCTGTGTAGGACACAACAAAATAGGTTCTGCATGCACTAAATTTAAAAAACATCTTTGAAAACAAAAATCTGAATGCATGCACAAAATTCTGTCATCATTTATGTCATGATTCCAGTCGGTGTTCCTCTGTCTTCCCTTCCTGTGCTTAGTTTCTGTTTCCTGTGCTACCATGTTTGTTGTCATGGTGATTCATTGGTTCCACCCCCTTGTTAACCTCGTTAGCCCTTGTATATGTACCCCTATGTTTGCCGTGTTCAGTGTCATTCAATCTCTGTTCCTGGTGTAAGCTCCTGTTCCATGTTTGCAAATGGATCCTCCGCCTTGTGTTTCTATGACTTTCCATGACTACAATTTACTCACTCTCATGTCATTTCAAACTTTCTTTTCTTTTGTGGAACACAAACGTAAATGCAGGTTTAGAACAACATAAGCTTGAATGAACTAATAAAGTCAATTTTGGCAGGTAAAGTCAGTATACATCTTTATTTGAGATTATGTTGAATTGTACATTTACACATTCTCTTTTATTTTTCTTTTATTATTCAGGACTTTTTATTGCATATGCAAAAATCCTGTCCTCTTGTTATCATTTTATCCAAACTGTGGTCACCATAGTTAAATGTTTTAAAATTATAGTAAGAAGAAGAATGAACTATTTTTCAGAAACTGGTTAAAATGAAGTCTACATCTGACCTGCAGGACATATGCATTGATTTATAAGTAAACTTTTTTTCACATGGAAATTCACTGAGCTATGTTAATCAAAGAAACTTAAATCTGTGGTTATTCTTGCTGAAGACCTGTTTCTACATTAAACTATAATTTGATACTAGATTGATACTTCCACCCATCATTATCCTACATGATCTAACTGTCACAGGGCTCTAGACTGCGACTAAAACGGTCGCATTTGCGACCAAAAATATTAATTTGCGAGTGAAGTTTTTGCTGAGGTTGCCACTGGCGACTATATATATTTACATGTTATGACTTAAAAATGTGCATGTAATGCCTTTTTTCCTGATTGTTTTGCAATCACATTTTTTGTTATGTTCACGTATTAAACTGAGACGATGCGCATCAAAGTTTTAGTGGAAAAAAGAGTTTCAAACAGTCCTCATCTCTGCCACACAGCAGCGCTGACGCACACCTGCTAAACACAGCTTAGTTGTGCAGCGCGAGAGAGATCGGCATGACGGAGATGTGCAAAGTGAAAGTGTAGAAAGCAGCATCTATTTCGTGCACAACTACAATAGGTAAAGCTGTCAGCTGTGTGGATATTGGCAATATCATTAACAATTCTTGTTTATAATCTTTACTAATATAGCTTCTTCTTATCAAGATCTTAGTCTATGTGCTGTATTGTTAATGCGTGAACTTCATATTATTTGAAGCACTCTTGCCGTCCATTAATCTCAAAAAGCTTTGTTACTTTTTAATAAACAAAGTATCAGCTTTAAAATTATGCCAAATTCATAACGAAATTCAAACAATAAACATGGTTTTGGCGTTCTTTAATGCAGCAGGCGCGATCGCTTTAGTGCCTCAGTTCAAGCTGCAAGTGAACCCATTATATCTTTCTCTTTACTACTATAGTACATAATGAACATGAATTAACATCAAAACGTAACCTATTTTATAAGAAAGCCTACAGTACAAAAAGAAAGCTCATTCAGTGTTTTAAACTGCAGAAAACGTGTAAAGCTTGTAAACATTGCAACGTAATAATACATTTACCTCAGAATAACCATTCGGTGTCCATAAGCTCATCAGTCAGCTAGAAAAATAACTATAAAGAGGAGCATTTAGCTATATGTATGAATGTTAATATTTTTACTTAACCTGTTGTCTACATGATTCAACTCCTACAAAATTGCATTTTACTAATGAAGAAAAACAGACTGAATGAGTGAAAGACATATGACAACACTTATAGGATGCATTGAGGAGGAGCCCAAACTACACTCAGGGGCCAAGTGATGCTTGTTATGGTCCATGATATTGGTACAGATTCTGTGTCATGAACAATTCTTTGTGACTACAGTAGTCAACATTTGAAGTGGATCAAAACCCTTTCATCAAAGTTGTCCTAAAACCTAAAACCAAAATGTGCTGTTGTCTTAGGACAACTTTGATGAACTTTTTTGATGCACTTCAAATGTTGACTACTGTATATATTTCAAGTTGGAAAAGACATTTAGTTCCCACTTTAAGCGAACCTTAGTTCCCAGGTCATCTACAAGATCGATTAAAATGCTGATAAATTCAAGAAAAGATGAGACATAAACACATGAAAGTATGATTGAAATGTTAAAAAAGTTATAATAAAATTAATAAAACACATTTATTCTGTGGCACCTAAAAAAATTATTTGGCGCCTAGAATTTTTTCTTATAGGAGCCAATGGCTCCTTACTCTATTTTTCAATCTTCGTATTGAATGTCATAAGCAAGTGGTCCATCCATGGCAAAGCCAATGTAGAATGACACTTTCTCAGTGCTGTGGCCGCTTCTCACTCTGCCAAGAAATGCGGGGCGCACAGGGATCTTTAGATTTCCATACTCTGTAAAGACCTCACCATCCTCAATAGTTCCTTTAACTCTGAGAATCTTGCTAATTATTGAGGTTTCCGTAAAGATTTCTCCGGTTTGCCAAAGAATGTGGCGATCCCTCACATTCCTGATAGATTTGTCAAGAAAAACTTTCGGCACCAGTCTTTGTATTCCATCAGGTGTTCCCAGGAAGAAGTGTGCGATGGTTGACCTTGTTCTGTACATATGGGAGAGATTCTTTCTTGCTGAGCTTCTGATTTTATCAACGTAAGTCTTAATGCCACTGCTGTTGACATTTCTTCCTGGCCAGAGCAAAAGTATGGCAAGATAGAAAGGCTCTGGGTATTGGTGCTGTGTACCAACATCTTGCAGAATTTCTTTTAAAAGCTTACTGAGGTCCTCGAGGGATTTTGACAACTTTGATTTTGGCCAAATCAACTTAAGTATTATATGTGCAAGCAGATGATTTGTTTTGTCCTTTGTAGTTTTAATGGCAGAGCTCTCATGTATGAATGAGTATTTCCCAGCAATCATTTCTACTGTCTCCTTTCTGTCCTCCAAAAATTGGAGAAGACCTGGGAATGTATCTGCCCTATTTTCCTCTAGGAACATTCGGGACTCCTCAATCTCCATATTCAAACTCAGTTTTGGTTTTTGCTTTCTCTCTTTTTGTTTTTCTTCTGCTGAGGAGCAAAATAATGATATGTAGTTTTGGTAGTGTGCAGAGAGTTTTTTGCGGTTCTTTATGTCTTTTCCATTGCCAACTCCCTTTTCTCTCATGTAAGTGAAGTACATTTCAAGGAAGTCAAATGCCTCTTTCACTTGTGATTTTAAAGATGTCAGAAAGAGTTCGCAGTCCTTAAGAACAGCAACATATTCATTACTGGATTCTTTCATATAAAACTGGATGTTTGCGCAAGACATTTTTTCTTTGAGAAAGCTCTGGATGTAATGATCTTTCATTGGATCGCCATTCTCAAACAATTCTAGTTTTTTGATGATGTCAAAAACAGTCATAGCTGTGTCGATCTCACCCATGTAGCCAGATATGTTATACGGGCTTAACTTTCTGTAAAGTTCCTTTTTAGTTTCAAGACTATCATCTGTCTTTGCCAAGGTTTGAGCTCTTCTGAAAGCTTTGGTGGCTGTGCTTGCTAACTCAAGATATTCCCTCAAGTCTTCAGCTGTGCATGGTTTCTGCTCCTGCTTTCTACACTCAAGTTTATGTTTTAATTCACTACTTGCAACTTGTCCAACTGTACATACGGTGTAGGAATTTTCTTTGATAGCTTTAGCACTGTTTGCCCACTTTTTAGCTTCAGCAAAGTTCTTCTCATTCAGGTACAAATGTCTTGCTAGAGCTTGAGGAATTGTGAAGTCTTTATTAAACCTTTCCGAAGCTGCAATAAAGATTTCTTGAATTTTGTTTAGTCCATCTTTTCCTGAGTTTATGTCTTCTATCAAAGGAGAAAACAGAGTGTCTTTCTCATTGTCTTCTGTCTTGCGTTGACGAGTGATCAACATGCTTTTCATTGATTGAACAAGAACATCTTTCACTGCAAATGTTTTGAAAAGGGCATCACAATGCAACATGTTAAGGACTATGTCAGCCCTGGAGCAGTTATGTGCCTCCTCTAGTTGTTTAACACATTCTGTTGCAAGATGTTGATGAACAAAGCGAATTGCTTTGAGTTCCCCATATTCTTCTGCCCCGAATTCAATCAGTAAACAGGAGTAGGGCTCCATTTTCTCCAGCACAGATTCCCATCCCCACAATGCACATTTGATGCCCAGAAAATCTTCACATAAAGATTTTGAGATGGCTGGTTCAGGCACATATGAATTCAGCAAAGCCAGTATGCAGAAGAGCTGTGCTTGTTTGCTTTCAACTTTGAAATCCTTTAGAATGTTAGATGCAACATTTGCAACATACTCAGGGTCTAAATTCGATTTCATGATCATAAAACTGTAAAAGTTCTCAGTTGTGAAAGACTTTATTTCTTGAAGTTGTTTAAGTTTCAGTTCAAAAGCACATTTTTCATTGTCAGATAGTGCTGATGTAATGTACTCACTCTCAGTGTCATTTTTGAGGTACCTGACTTTTGGGGTTTTTGTACGTATGCAGTTTAA